CCACAAAATACCATGTGCAGGCGCGCATGTACAGTGCGATTGAAACTTCATGGCCCATGCGCAGAAGTTGGTATTTTGTGGAAGAGCCACACTCAAGGGGCCAAAGAGCCACATGTGGCTCGTGAGCTGCAGTTTGACAGCCACTGCCCTAGGCAGTTAGTGCTGGGTCTGGGCGCCGCCAGCAGCCCCAGTCAGTGCTGGGTCACCACGGCAACCCAGCACTGACTTCCGGTCTGGTCCTTCTGTAATGGTAGTTGCATCCTGGCTCTTTATTATATAGACTAGAGGCCCATGGCATGAAGAGATTTGTGCAATAGGCCTTCCTTCCTCTGGCTGCTGGCACCAGTTTTCCTTCTGCACCCAGGACCCAAGCCTTCGCTCCTGCCTCAACAAAGAAGCCACACCTGGAGGCTTCTCCACTCCAACCACAGCAGAGAAGCCAAGCCTCTTCAGTCTTTAGTCTTCTGCTTTACTCAGGCTGGAGCCTTCAGTCTTTGCTCGGTGCCTGCATATGCAAATTAGCCCGCCATTTTGTGTTAATTTGCATATTAATTCCTGATTGGCTGGTGGGCGTAGCAGAGTGATGTTCAATTTGCATGATTCTCTTTTATTAGTGTAGATTTTCTAGTCATTACTTTATTCTGTACACTTGGCATCTCACAGGCTGTTATTGCTTTTCAGACAGAAGGAAGGAATTATATAAGCATCCTGGCTCTTTATTATATAGCCTAGAGGCCCATGACATGAAGAGATTCGTGCAATAGGCCTTCCTTCCTCTGGCTGCCGGCACCAATTTTCCTTCGGCACCCAGGACCCAAGCCTTTGCTCCTGCCTCAACAGAGAAGCCACGCCTGGAGGCTTCTCGGCTCCAACCACAGCAGAGAAGCCAAGCCTCTTCAGTCTTTAGTCTTCTGTCTTCACTCAGGCTGGAGCCTTCAGTCTTTGCTCGGCGCCTGCCATTTTTTTGTTGGGTTAATTTGCATATTCATTCCTGATTGGCTGGTGGGCGTAGCGGAGTGATGATCAATTTGCATGTTTCTCTTTTATTAGTGTAGATTTTCTAGTCATTACTTTATTCTGTACACTTGGCATCTCACAGGCTGTTATTGCTTTTCAGACAGAAGGAAGGAATTATATAATCAAGGTGAGTTATACTGATATTGTTGGGTCAACCATCTCATCTGCCCCTCTGTTCTGATCCCCTCCTATAGACCTTGTTGGTGAAGGGGAATACCCAACCCTAAAATAATAAGGGGGTCACCCAACACTGGGCAGATGAGATTGACAGCAGTTTGTTAATCACATATACTCACATCCTGGGGGAAGGCACCACACACCGTGCAGGACACATGGAGGCTGCACTTGGGAGCCGAGTCAACCAGCAGGGCTGTGGGAGGTAGGATCATAATGACAGGAGGATGAGGCACTCCTGTTTTCTGTAGAAGTATGTGATCGGCATGTTTGAAAAATTTTGCCAGCTGACAGGGAGGTGAAGCCCACTATTGGGCTGAGGACAGGTGGAGGTCAGCGGCTTTGGCTGGTAGGGGAATTAGCTGGGTGGGAGCTTTTCCTGCTGGATGGAGAGCATATCTGGTGAGAACAGGGCAACTCACAGTTGGGCATTTGAAGCCTTGTGAGGCTCAAAGATGTCAAGGCATCAATGCAATTTCAGGATTTACAACACAGTTTCATAATTATAGCCCATCCTCTTCTTCTCCCAAAAGAAACAGACTGGGGGAAGGCACCACACACCGTGCAGGACACATGGAGGCTGCACTTGGGAGCCGAGTCAACCAGCAGGGCTGTGGGAGGTAGGATCATAATGACAGGAGGATAAGGCACTCCTGTTTTCTGTAGAAGTATGTGATTGGCATGTTTGAATAATTTTGCCAGCTGACAGGGAGGTGACGCCCACTATTGGACTGAGGACAGGTGGGGGTCAGCGGCTTTGGCTGGTAGGGGAATTAGCTGGGTGGGAGCTTTTCCTGCTGGATGGAGAGCATATCTGGTGAGAACAGGGCTCACAGTTGGTGGGCATTTGAAGCCTTGTGAGGCTCAAAGATGTCAAGGCATCAATGCAATTTCAGGATTTACAACACAGTTTCATAATTATAGCCCATCCTCTTCTTCTCCCAAAAGAAACAGACCCTCATATTTTATCACAGATGGGTTGGTGGATGTGGAAAGTGTGAAGAGATAGTACCGGAAATATAAAAGAATACAAATATCCCATAATTTTCATTGAGATGATGAACACAGAAATATAGCACTATCATAAACCTTCAGATTTCGTGTGGTTGCAGCAATTTCAGTCTGAAGCAAATGTCCTTCGAATGGGAATATCTAACTTCTTTGTTTTATTTCAGACTGGAGAAAAGCTGGGTTATATGCTGGTGAGTAACTGATGTTGTCTTGGGGGTTCAGGTGCCCCAGGATTTCATGAGCCATTTCCAGGGCATGTTTAGAAAGGCGCCATCTTCTGGAGATTTTATTTTGAAACTGAGAGTCCAGAAAAATATAGCAGCTAAGTGAATAAGCATACCACTAGTTCAGAGGACATGTTCTTGCCATATTTTAACATGATATTTTTTTCTCTTTAGACTGGAGAAAGGAACATTTCAAAGCGGGTGAGTGGTCCTATTCTTTTGTCCTACATAATCTCTTTTATACAAACCAGAAACATTTATATAAACACCCAATAATACCTCCTTGGTTAGGCATTTCATGGCTTTCACTTCAGTCTCAATTTCATGCTGAAACATTAACAGATTTCTTACTATTTTGATATCATTCATTCAGCCTAAATCTATACAACTATTCATTCAGTGTCAAATAAATACAGCAGGGCTGGTCTCTAACTCCATGGGAAAGTGCACATACAAATTGTGATGAATGTTTGAAGGAAATAGCAATTGCTGTGAGGGGAAGGAATAGGGGATTAAAGAAACTGCCATGAAGAAATGATGTTCAATCTGAGACTTCGGTGACAGGGTAGATTTATTCACGCGAACAATATTGAAAAAAGTTCAGCCGGAAGGAAGTCTGCTATGCAGCCATCCTGAGACAGAGCAGAGCTCGTTGTTGCTCAGTGCAAGCGCACAATGGCCTGGCCTCAGAGTCTTTCCAGAGTTAGAGTTGATTGTCAATGACTAGTGCAGTTCTCAACCTTTATGAATCGTAATGTAAATATCTGATATGCAGGATGTATTTTCATTGTTACAAATTGAACATAATTAAAGCATAGTGATTAATCACAAAAACAATATGTAATTATATATGTGTTTTCCGATGGTCTTAGGCGACCCCTGTGAAAGGGTCATTCGACCCCCAAAGGGGTTGCGACCCACAGGTTGAGAACTGCTTGTCTACTGCATGCTGCTTTACTCTGAATATCCCCGCATCCACACCCATCTTCTAGTTAACATAATCCTCCAAACACATAATATCCCACATACAAATTCTTAGAAAAACTTTAATTATTGAAAATGTTGGGTTTGACAAGAAGCAGGTTACTTACTACTAGTACTAGTGCTACTGCTACTCTTAATGTACAGTGTTAGTGTTACTAGAGCTACTGGAAGCTAAAGTTTACCAAGTGTTCATCACGGGCAAGACATAGTATTAAACTCTACATGTTATCTCATTTCTTGCTCCCCATACTCCTATGCTGAAGGCTCAGAATTATGTTCATTGTCATGAGGGCAAAGCAAGGCTGAGAGAAGCAAAGTGGTTTCACCAACTTCCAAGCTCCTAAGGATGGAGTGATTGTCACAATGTGGGGCTTTCTGACTAAAGAGCCTGGGATTTCAACCATTAGAAGTATAAAAAGTGTTTGTGTGAGACGGATAACTGAGTTATTACATAAGCCCAGAGAAAAAGGATACCAAAGAAACTTAAATGCAAATAGGTACAGTGTGACTGAAATACGGCACAACTTAATTATTAAAAGCAAACAGCCAGCATGTGAAGGAAGTTGGAGAGACCCCGTCCTGCAATACCCAATCCTGGGCTTTCAGATGAGACAGCTGTCTTCCCTAAACAGTGTCTGCCTGTGGGGAACAGGTGGCCACCCGAGGTCCTGTCAACCCCTACCTTCTATGATCTACACACCACGCATCTCCTATGAATAGATATGGATAGAACACAATGGTTTACCCACTATTCCATTGCTTTCCCCCTTCTTTCCGTCATGCCCCTTTTCCTGTATTTGAATCTTTCCTAAAACCAACTAGTCTTGATTGTGGAATGACCTTTCTTTTTTTTCTTTTTTTTATACCTGCAGTGGCTGTTACTCTGGATCCAGACACAGCTCATACCAAACTCATCTTATCTGAGGATAGAACACATGTTTCTTCAAAAGAAAATGTTTCTCAGAACCATGATGGCCCCACACAGCAGGATCAAGAGGCCATCTTCAGTGTTCTGGGCCAGAATTGCTTTACCACAGGGAGACATTACTGGGAGGCAGAAGTAAAAGTGGGAACAGAAGGTGGACCTGGAACCAGATGGGCGCTGGGTGTCTGCTCAGATACAGTGAAGAGAGAGGGGTGGTTTGTAGAAAGTCCAGAAAAGAATTTCTGGGTGGTGACATACAAGGAAGGGGAAATCTGGGTTCTCACTTCCCAGTCAGAGCTTCTGTCGCTGAGGCAGCGCCCTCACAGGATAGGAGTGTTCCTGGACTGGGAGGGTGGGGATGTGTCCTTTTACAACATGGTTGATGGATCTCACATCTATTCCTTCACTAGAATCCAATTCTGTGGGACCCTCCGTCCTTACTTTAGCCTTCAGGGTCCTGGCACATCTGTGGCCATCTGCCCAGCTTCAGATCACACTGAAAATTGTCCTGATTCTTCTCCAAAGACCTCTGTGACTCACTCAAGGAGTTCTGATATGGGCGTCCCCCAAGAAGCTAACTCTCTGTTACCTCCATAAGAAGTGAAGTGTCAGTGCCTTAGGTATCTCTGAGCTGCCTCTACTCAAAGCTCTTATGGGTGAGAAAGCTGTTTCTGTGTGGAGAGTAGCCCATTTTCAGTAGGTTAACATTTCAGCCCCTTTCAAAGAGGGGGAAGCAGAAAGAGGAATGGAGCAACTGGAAAATCGTTGGGAGAATTTCCTCTGATGTTACCTTTGGGACAATGTGGTCTCTATGAGCAGTAACCATTTGTCACAAGAAAACTGCAAACAAATGCATGGTATCTCTTCTGTTCCATTGCTCAGTGTGTGTTGAAATAAATACTCTACAATAGAATACTATGCAGCTGTAAAAAAGAAAGAACTCTTACCATTTGGAACAGCATAGACAGACCTAGAGAGCATTATTCTTATCAAAATAAGGCAGTCAGAGAAAGATAAGTATCACATGATTTCACTCATATGTGGAATCTAATGAAAAACAAACTGATGAAGAAAAATAGACCCAGAGACATAGAAACATTGAACAGACTTTCAAACCTCAGATGGAAGGCAGGGAAGGGTGGAGGGGGGAAGAGATCAACCAATGAACTCATATGCGTACATGCATAACCCCTAGACGCAGACAGTGAGTGGTGAAGGCTTAGAGGGGAGGGAGTTGGGAGAGGGAAATGGGGGGAAAAATGGACACATGTAATATTTTCATCAATAAAGATTTATATTAAAATATTTTTAAAAATACATCTACAGAGAAATTTTCTACACTTATGTTTGTGTTATCAAATGTGGAGGAGAGGTGGTATCTAAAGGGAAGGGTCAACAGCTGAGTGAATTCTCAGTACATGTTACTGTTATTAGAAATACACAGAAATCATTCAAATCTTTTGAAAGTTACTAGCTCAGCTTGTCCTTGCCTCCTTGCCCTTCGACTTGTGAACCTGGAGTCTTCCATGTGGTGGAGAGGATGGTAAAACCTTTCCACTGGGAGACCAAGCCTAATTATTAAAAGCAAACAGCCAGCATGTGAAGGAAGTTGGAGAGACCCCGTCCTGCAATACCCAATCCTGGGCTTTCAGATGAGACAGCTGTCTTCCCTAAACAGTGTCTGCCTGTGGGGAACAGGTGGCCACCCGAGGTCCTGTCAACCCCTACCTTCTATGATCTACACACCACTCGTCTCCTATGACTAGATATGGATAGAACACAATGGTTTACCCACTCTTCCATTGCTTTCCCCCTTCTTTCCGATATGCCCCTTTTCCTGTATTTGAATCTTTCCTAAAACCAACTAGTCTTGATTGTGGAATGACCTTTCTTTTTTTTCTTTTTTTTATACCTGCAGTGGCTGTTACTCTGGATCCAGACACAGCTCATACTAAACTCATCTTATCTGAGGGTAGAACACATGTTTCTTCAAAAGAAAATGTTTCTCAGAACCATGATGGCCCCACACAGCAGGATCAAGAGGCCATCTTCAGTGTTCTGGGCCAGAATTGCTTTACCACAGGGAGACATTACTGGGAGGCAGAAGTAAAAGTGGGAACAAAAGGTGGACCTGGAACCAGATGGGCGCTGGGTGTCTGCTCAGATACAGTGAAGAGAGAGGGGTGGTTTGTAGAAAGTCCAGAAAAGAATTTCTGGGTGGTGACATACAAGGAAGGGGAAATCTGGGTTCTCACTTCCCAGTCAGAGCTTCTGTCGCTGAGGCAGCGCCCTCACAGGATAGGAGTGTTCCTGGACTGGGAGGGTGGGGATGTGTCCTTTTACAACATGGTTGATGGATCTCACATCTATTCCTTCACTAGAATCCAATTCTGTGGGGTCCTCCATCCTTACTTTAGCCTTCAGGGTCCTGGCACATCTGTGGCCATCTGCCCAGCTTCAGATCACACTGAAAATTGTCCTGATTCTTCTCCAAAGACCTCTGTGACTCACTCAAGGAGTTCTGATATGGGCGTCCCCCAAGAAGCTAACTCTCTGTTACCTCCATAAGAAGTGAAGTGTCAGTGCCTTAGGTATCTCTGAGCTGCCTCTACTCAAAGCTCTTATGAGTGAGAAAACTGTTTCTGTGTGGAGAGTAGCCCATTTTCAGTAGGTTAACATTTCAACCCCTTTCAAAGAGGGGGAGGCAGAAAGAGGAATGGAGCAACTGGAAAATCGTTGGGAGAATTTCCTCTGATGTTACCTTTGGGACAAAGTGGTCTCTATGAGCAGTAACCATTTGTCACAAGAAAACTGCAAACAAATGCATGGTATTTCTTCTGTTCCATTGCTCAGTGTGTGTTGAAATAAATACTCTACAATGGAATACTATGCAGCTGTAAAAAAGAAAGAACTCTTACCATTTGCAACAGCATAGACAGACCTAGAGAGCATTATTCTTATCAAAATAAGGCAGTCAGAGAAAGATAAGTATCACATGATTTCACTCATATGTGGAATCTAATGAAAAACAAACTGATGAAGAAAAATAGACCCAGAGACATAGAAACATTGAACAGACTTTCAAACCTCAGATGGAAGGCAGGGAAGGGTGGAGGGGGGAAGAGATCAACCAATGAACTCATATGCGTACATGCATAACCCCTAGACGCAGACAGTGGGTGGTGAAGGCTTAGAGGGGAGGGAGTTGGGAGGGGGAAATGGGGGGAAAAATGGACACATGTAATATTTTCATCAATAAAGATTTATATTAAAATATTTTTAAAAATACATCTACAGAGAAATTTTCTACACTTATGTTTGTGTTATCAAATGTGGAGGAGAGGTGGTGTCTAAAGGGAAGGGTCAACAGCTGAGTGAATTCTCAGTACATGTTACTGTTATTAGAAATACACAGAAATCATTCAAATCTTTTGAAAGTTACTAGCTCAGCTTGTCCTTGCCTCCTTGCCCTTCGACTTGTGAACCTGGAGTCTTCCATGTGGTGGAGAGGATGGTAAAACCTTTCCAGTGGGAGAACAAGCCTTCTTGAGGTGAGCCTTTTATTTATTAACTAGAGGCCTGGTGCACAGATTCGTGCACAGGTGGTATCCTTCAGCTGGGCTGGTGCCCTCTCGCAATCTGGGACCCCTCAAGAGATGTTGGAATGCTGGTTTCGGCCGGATCCCTGCAGGCCCCAAACCGGCAGTCTGACATCGCCCAAGGGATGTAGTAGTGTGTGAAGCAGCAGGTGCCTGGGGAGGAGCCTGAGCCTGGCCTGGGCACTGCTCCCACTCATCCTGGCCCTGCTGTACCTGCCACCACTGTCGCTTGGTAGCCACTGCTTGGTAACACTGCCGTGGAGGTGGGAGAGGCTGCAGCTGCGCTTGCCAGCCATGAGCCCTGTGTCTAGCGCCTGTCAGTCAGCTGAGCAGTGCTCCCGCTATGGGAGCACACTGACCACCAGGGAGCAGCTCCTGCATTGAGCATCTGTCCCCTGGTGGTCAGCGACCGGTCGACTGGTTGTTTGGTCATCCGGCAGCTTAGGCTTTTATATAGAGAGAGGCTTTTATGTATACAGACAAGTTCTCACTGGTCAGCAAGTCCAGACTTTTGTCCTCTGGGAATATGTGAATGAGAAAGGAATTGATGTTGCAGTTTATGATTTCAGAGTAAAAAGTAAAATTAGTCAAATAAACACGAAGAAACATCTGCAGCCTTCATGGAGAAGAGTTGACAACACTGCCTGTTTTCCTCGCTGACGATGTCCTTCCCACTGTTGAGGTTTCCTTTGCCTTAATGCAGCTAAGCCTTCTCTAACATCACCAAGCTTGTGTCTTCAAGGATATAAAATATGAGCTTCTCCTTTTAAGTGAGTCTTCCCTTCCTGGTGATAGAAGAGAACAACTTAGCTTTTTCTACACTATTGACAGTTCTTTAAACCACAAGTCTCTCTTGGAGACTTAAGAATTCCTAAGAGTCTCTTAAGAATCTCCCTTGGAGATGAATCTCCTTAGCAAAAATTCCCTGGCACACTAAGTTGTGCAGAGCGACTACAGCATTTGGACAGGTTCAAGCCTTGGACTGATGAGAGGGCATGGTCCTCTTGTGCCAAAGCCACATACAAGTCTCAGCTTGGAGGGCAGAGCTCTCCCATCACAATTATAGCCAAAGGCTATGATTGTATGTAACCTTGACCTTATAGTCTGACCTTGTAGTCCTAGGTAGCTGAGGGATGTGGGCTGTGGGAGGTGCAGCAAGTACCGCCAAAATGAAGCTTGATAAAGTTCAGAGAATTGCAACAACAGGAAAGAAGCAGATTTGAAACTCGCAAGAACATTGTAAACATCTTGCCCTTGTTTTGCTTTGTGTGATCTGACTATAAAATAAAGATTCGGCTAACAGGCTGTGTCACTGTGTCCTCATCCAGGTGCAGTGATCCACCAGGCCCCAACTATATTCTCTGTCTGTTTTCTTTAATCCTTCACCGCCCCTCCTCAGGTTCACCACTGGCCATGCTGGATGAGGTTCATTAAGTGGCAAAGCCAGTACTTCAACCCAAGAAGAATAAAACCAGAGCACAGAATATTCACGTCACTGACAGTGGGAGAAAGGGAGGGACTAACACAACACCGTATAAATAATAAAGGCAGGAGAGAAGTAAGTGAACAGTGGAAAAATATTAAATTGCTATAATTAAAAAGAAATGGTAGATGAGGAGGGATTTCCATGTATGAGAACCCTATACACAGGGTCACAACAAAACATTTAAAAAAATGAGATTGGAACTATGATATAGAGCAGGAAGGATAATGGGTTCAGTTTAGGATATTTTTCTTTTGTTCTAAGTTTAGGATATTCAGCATGAGGTTCTCGAATGAGTTTTAAGTGTCTCTCCCACTGGAACTAAATGCATATTTTGTTCTACACAGGATTCTTCCACCTGTCACTTCTCCACTCATTTTAATGAGCTTTTGTCCTTTAAGCTTGGAGACTGGGAAGCATAGGTTGGAGGTGGGCAATGAAAGAAAGTGTGAGGATTGGTGTTCTTTAGAATCAGTTGTAGAAATGTCAGGGATGACATCGCCCACAGCATCCTC